GCGTGTGCGTATTTGCGGCTGGCGAAAAGCAAAATGAGTCAAAAGGAGAGGGGAGAGGGAAGAGAGGAGTAAAAGTGATTGTGCATAAATTAGCGGTTAATTGCGCATCGTAAGATTTGCATCTAGATAGTCGGAGCGCGCGATGGTAATTAAAACGATTTATCGCGAGCGAGAAAGGTTAATAGCCGTGAATGACGATTATCATTATTATTCTTATTACTATTATCGTGGTCGCCGATCGGCCGGTATCGCCGATTATTCATTAATCTCTCCTTCTCTAATTAATTAATTAATTAATCGCGCGGGCACATACACACTCGGCACGAGCCGGCCAAGACACGCCGCAAATTGCGATCCTTTCTTTTCTCGATCTTCGCTAAGGCCGCGTTTTCACCACGAAAAAAAAAAAGGGGGAAAAGAAAACCCTCCGCCCTCTTCGCGTTCGAATCGATCGATCGATCGATCGATCGGTCGATCCCTCGCATTTCAAAATTCCCACCATCCTTTTACTTTTACTTTTCAGCGTTACTCCGCTTTTTTGTTTAATTTTTTGTTTAATTTTTTGCTTTCGGATACGAATTTTTTTTTTTTTTTTTTTTTTCAATTTTTAAGACATCGCTCAGAAAAGTTGGATCGTGTTTTTCGCTCGTTTCGCAGCGAGCTTGTAGTTGCATCGACGTTTCTATCGTAGGATTTGGAGGAGGGTGGTGGTCGGGTTCGATTGTAAAATTTCCATATCCGTACCTTTTCCACGTATCAAATCCAAAGTAGATCGACGAGAAAACGACGATCCAAATATCCCTGGAATATGCCTGCTCTTTTGAATATAAAAAAAACTTGGAAGAACAGTGTTTCTCAGTGTTTCGAAGCGAGCAGCCTCTTTTTCGCCTCGATATTTTTAGTACGGGAGAAAAGAAAAAAAAAAGTAAAATTTTTGTAACGAGACTACAAGGAAATACAATTATTAACGCGGAGAGGCACTGGTCTCGAAGTCGAAATGCGATGGATCGAAATCTTCGAGATCGGGGCTCGAAGGAAACCGGCGACAGGGATGAGAGGTGGTGTGAGATTTCGAAGAAAAAAAAAAAAAAAGAAAAAGAGAAAAAAGAAAATAAAAGAAATAAAGAAAAGACTGACGAGCGTATAAGGAGGGAGAAAGAAAGGGATGTTTGTCCGCGAGACGCCGGCCCGCCCCATTTTCTCGCGAACGGGTCACAGTTGGATATTGAGAACGAAGGGAGGACAGGAGGAAGGGAGAGGCAGGTTATTCTAATAAAAAAATAGTATTATTAGGGAGTAGCGTGTAGACTGTATAAAGAGAGAGAGGAAAGGGGGAAAAAGAAATACAATGCACGAGCGTACACGAACTGTAGCGAAGGGGAAGAGAAAAAGAGACGAAAGTTGGACGGGGAAGGGTGACAGGACGAAAGCGGAGGCGTGTAATGGATGGAAGATACGATCCAGGCGCGTGTATCGGTGGTCACATCTCGTGGAAGGAAGGAAGGAAGGAAGGAAGAGGACGCGAGAGGGATGTCTCGACGGTGGATTCGACGAATGTTCGATCGATGATGGGCGTTTCGTGGCGACACTGATTTTTTCGTGGACATGTATAAAGCGACATTGTAAGATATCGTTGTAAAAAAAGGTTTTAACTTAAAAATAAATTAACGATAATTCACGCATAATTCACGCAAGCTCTTTTTTTTTTTTTTTTTTTTTTTTTTTTTTTTTTTTTTTTTTTTTTTTTTTTTTTTTTTTTTTTGTTTTTTGTTTCTATCTTCTTATTTTATTACACCACGACGGTTTTTTTTTTCTTTTTTAAAGAAAGAGAACCTCGCTTTTGTCACGGTATATTTCATACTCGAGACATATTTTAAGAAAATAAATAGGGCGTTACGAGTCTTTCGTGCTAATTATGACGGTATATGAAACGTTAGTATTTGAGGAGGATAGAATCCACTGTTGCTGTTGTTATCCTTAGTCTTGTAAGAATTATATTAATCGTTAAATCCTTAATTTTCTCATACACATTTCTCTCTCTTTCTCTCTCATTTTTTTTTTTTTTTTAATTTCCATTTAATTATATTCCATGAACACGAATGAATCTGTCTATGAGTTAAAAAGTGAAATAAATGTCAAGTATGAGATCTCAAAGAGTTAACTTCTTTTTTCTTCTTAACTCATCGTTTCTTGAAAACGAAAGGAGGAATTTTTTTAAGGATAAAAATCGAGGAGTTGGTAAGTTTTTCAGAGACGATTCGAAAGGGGATATAATTTTCAATCGGGCCGAGACATCAAGGACTTTATTAACAGGTGCGAGTTAATTAAACGTTATCAAGTCGGTACGAGGTGTTAACATGTGAATCAAAGACCGAGATAA